GAAGCACATTTGTGAGGTCAGACACTGATGTTGGATGAGAAGGTCAGGCTAAGGGTCACTGATTCATCCCAAAGGTGTTCTACGTGGCTGAAGTCAGGACTTTGTGCAGGCCAGTCAAGTTCTTCCACAAAAAACTCATCCATGTCTTTATGCACCTTGCTTTGTGCACTGGTGCAGTGATGCTGGAACAGGAAGGGGCCATCCCCAAACTGTTATTACAAATTTGGGAGCATGAAATTGTCCAAAATGTCTTGGTATACTGAAGCATCAAGTGTTCCTTTCACTGGAATAAAGGAACCGAAACCCACACTATTACCATCCCTCCACCAAACTTGACTCTTGGCCGACAAGTACCGGTGTCCTGGCAACTGCAACACCCAGACTCGTCCTTAAGATTGCCAGGTGGAGAAGTGTGATTCGTCACTCCAGAGAACACGTCTTCACTGCTCTAGAGTCCAGTGACGACATGCTTTACATCATTGCTAAGGCTCAGATGCGGCTGCTTTCTATGCAGTTGTTGAGCTAATCTGAAGGCCACATGAAGTTTGGTCAGTAGTGACTGACTCTGCAGAAAGTTGGCGACCTCTGCACACTTTGTGCCTCAGCATCTGCTAACCCCACTATTTTACATGCCCTACTACTTCATGGCTGAGTTGCTGTCGTTCCCAATCACTTCAGTTTTGTTATATTATCACTAACTGTTGACTGTCGAATATTTATTAGTGAGGAAATTTCACGACTAGACTTGTTGTACAGTCTAGTTGTGAAGCCTATCACAGAACTACACTGGAATTCACTGAACTTTTGAGAGCGACCCATCCTCTTAGAGATGTTTGTAGAAGCAGTCTATGTGTCTAGGTGATTTTATACACCTGCTCTTCACAAAACACCAATAATGCTTAAGTATAGCTATACATGTCTAGGTGTCTGTGAAGGTTCTCAGTCATCCAGGTCATCGTAGTCAAAGGAGCTTGCAAAGAAAAGCGTCTGGACTTAACTTAAAGAAGTCCAGACGCTTTTCTTTGCAAGCTCCTTTAACTATACATGTCTAGATACATCCATGGATTCACTACGTTAGACTGATTATTTTAATGTGGTCATCATATTGTATATTATATTATATATTATATTAATGCTTTTAGGGAAATTTATTTTGAGAATTGAGTTAGTATAAGATGGTAATCTCAGGAAAGTTTTAGCACAAACTCAGTTTAGTATAATTTTTAATTCAATATTGAGTAAAAATTTCAAATCTTTGTACTTTGTATTGCTGTGTCTGACCTTACATTTTAATATTCTCAATATTTATCTTGTGATTGATAATTAAATTTTGAATCATTTTGCTTCATGCCTGACACGGTCATATTCAGTTTGCAAGTTAATCACATTTTCTGTTTTATCATTTCAAAGCAGAATTTATCACTCTAGATGAGCACATGCTGTTTTTAGAAAGAACTTACTGGTGTCATAACCATGTGATGCTTAACATTGTTTGGTATCCAGGACTGTCTGGCGTCCTGAGGAATAAACTAGACTTACACATTCTGAAGGTTACAGCTGTACTAGCGTCATACTGTACTGGATCTTCTCGTCTTTACGGTGTACCAAACAGATGTGCCCATTTCAAGGGTCAAAATCTTTGCGCTTCATGAATTCTTAATAAAAGGAAGATTGCACAATTTTTCCCTGAGATGAACTGTAGTGTCACTCAAAAGGCAGACTAAAAAGTGAAAGTTGAAATCCAGTGATGCAAAGATGTGTTGTGTGCTGAAGGTCACACACATTCAAATGTATTGCATTTCCATTTTTCTAAAGGCTTCACTTGGTGTTTTATTGTCTTTGTATGCATTTTTTACTGCAGCACTTCAACTCCAATCACATCTTTCACACACTGTGTCAGCACCCACCCCCCAAACAGACTCCCATCCTCCTTCCTGCCCAGCCCCCTCTTTTTATTGGTTGACCTAGTGGAGTTACTATGGGAACAACTGTGGAGAGGCTGCCATGCAGAATGTGGGGTACAGCTTTTGAATGGTGCTCTGTCGTACACACATGCACTCACACACATTTATCAAGGCCAGGAAAGCCTACCTACCATCAAGATGTTGTGTTTTTGTAAATACTAGTGGCCTTCATTTTTCTCTGTCTGTGCTAGAATTTCTTTTCTTTACCACCAGATAGGTAGTGTAGTCTTTCTTTTTCATTTTTTTTGTTATATTCAACTGGTAGTACTTTTACTTACAGTACTATGACAGCAGTAAATGCTTATTTGTTATTTACTACAGCCCGTGCTAGAATATTTTGCCTACAAGCAAACTGTAGGTCTAAATCTATTAGAGCAAAACTACTGGTCATCCACTACCAGACCTTAAAGCAGATGGGCTACGAAAGACCAAAGCCACACCGGGTGCCACTCATATATGGAAAGAATTTTAGAGCTCATCAAAACTGGACAGTAGAAAATTAGGGGAAAAATTGCTGAATCATGATTTCTGCTGCAACATTTGGATGGTAGGGTCAGAATCTAGTGTAAACAAACTGAAAGCAGGGATCCATCCTACCTTGTATCAACAGTTCAGGGTGCTGGTGGTGTTGTCTGAGATATTTTTATTGCACATTTTTATTGCATATTGGCTCCTAAGAACCAGCTGATTGTCGTTTGAATGGCACAGCTTGTTGCTGACCATGTCTACTTTTTGTGATCACAGTGTACCCGTCATGTGATGGCTTCTTCCAGTTGGATAAGACACCATATCACGAAGCTCAAATCATCTCAAACTGGCTTCTTGAACAAGACAATGAGTTCATTGTACTCAAATGTCCGCCACAGTTACCAGAGCTCAATCCAATAGAGCACCTTTGGGATGTGGTGGAACAGGAGACTGGCATGGACTACTAGCAAGCTGTACCTAATGAAGTGGCCAGTGACAAGTGGATACTTGTGGCTGGTGATCATCAGAAGTTATACCAGCTAAATAAAAGCTTCATTTAAGAGCACTGAAGCTCTTCAAACCCATTCACATACTCACAATAAATCTTATTCTGCCACTTATTCTTTGCTTTTCACCATGAGTCCTTCCCTTGTTCTCTTCCTCACTGGTTTGAATAAGAACCCCATTGTTCATCAGAAACTCAGTGCTCTCTGTTGCACTCTTTAACCAGATTTATGGCCGAAAACAAATAAGCACAAACATGGCTCACACTGAGAACAACTGTCCACATCGAGCAGCCAAACAGCAGATTACTGATGAGATCAGCTGACACAGATATATACAAACACACACACACACATGCAACATTACGCACCATTCTTACTGTCAGCATCCCTGGCTTTGATGTGGTGGGCTGGTACAAGTGAGTGTTATGGTCTTACGTAAGGCTTTTACATAAACCTCGGAGTGTAGAGAGCTGGATAAAGAGGGAGGGGGAATTGCTGCACCATTACAAAGGGGATTCGCACTGCACCAAATCCTCCTCCTACTTCACATGGATAAACCACAACATATAAGCTTTTTCTAGCAACATGAGCCATTCTTGAAAAAATGCGACTATACTTTTCATCTATTCAGGACACACACGGGTCTCATATCCACATGCATCAGTTGTCTCTCTTTGTCATCACCATGCCTGTCTGTCTCCTTTCTTTCCCCAACAGAGACCAACAGTAGCTAGGGACGCATCTGTCGGGCTTTCATGTCAGCAATCAATAGGATTTATTGATAACCTGTAATCCCCGACCCAGAATGACCTCTCCCTAAGTGCTGGACCACAACAATATCCAAAAACTAAAGCTACATTCTACTCAATGCATCACCTTTTCTCACTCAGGCTGATCCTTAGGGATTTAAGACAGCAGGACATGAGGGGTGGGATGAGAGAAGTGGAATTCAACCTCCATTTTATTTTTTCTCCAAACACAAAAAGGACATAACTCCTATGATGGTGTAAACGTGCTTACAAAGAGTCAGGGGCTCATCTATCAGCGCAAATACAGTTTTCTTTATTAAAAATGTAATGAGGTTTTCACAATATAAACAGATAGAAACATAAAGGAGGGGGGGAAATCTGCTTTTCATCAGAGCAAATGATCACATAAAGGCCCAGAAAAAAAAGAGAAGTGTGTGCCTGCAAAAAATACATTGAGCTGAGTCTGGTGTTGGTGAGCCCATGATGGAAACATGGTGACCTCAGGAGTAAGAGTGTGTCCCAGTGCAACAGTTGTATCATGCCATGTCATACCTGGATGAAGCTAAGAAACAGTGACATGTTGGATAGAGTGATGTCCTGTATTTAAACAAAACCTGGTGGACATTGATTGCATAATGACCTGTCATCTTTCAGTTCTACAGAATCTGACTGTTAAAGGAATCCAAGTAAAATCTTGCCAACCAATAACATCAACCAAAAAAATACTTTACTTAAAAAACAAATCTTTTTCTCAATCAGCAATGAATAAAGGAAGCTAAAGGTCTAAAGCTAAAGAAAGGGAAAATGTGAACCGACATGATCACTTGCTGCTTCCCAGGTGACCTCTAGGGCGCCCTTTTATTTGGCTAGGAGAGTTCCTACTGCAGTCTCGGAATCAGGTTACTCCATGGTTGCCTACACTACACCATAGGGAGGCTGAATAGATATCTGAACCCGGAGCAGTGTCATGGATCAATCATTAGACTCTAAATGAGATGAGATGGCTTAAAGAACGAGAATGACACTCAAGTGTCACTGATAGCTTCTGTGGGAATGATTACATTAAACTTGGCATATCCTATGAAAATTCTATGGAAATCCCTATAAGGGACCAACCTGCTCCCTTTTAACTGATTGCACTGAATCACTAACAAAGGCCTTCTAGGACTGCAACACACCTTCTTATTTCTAAAACAAGCGGCGTTTTGCAATGTAAGCCACAGGGGACTTAGAAAAGAGTCAAATCCAGTTTGTCTTGCCCCCACAAAAGAGGGACAAAGAGGATAGTAGAACACAGAAAACTATGTCCTCACAAATATCCATTACAATGTCAAGCTACATTCACATTCACTCGCAGCTGTGGTGGCTCGTGAAATTAGGCTATACATTGTTTTTTGTTTTGTTTTGTTTTGTTTTATTCATAGCCAGGAGGAGAAGGGGCGAGGTCAATCATTTAGCATTAGTTCCCAAATTTTGCTATGTATAATATCCTAGTTCTCTAAACTGGCACTTGTCATCCATCCACATTAGCCTATACAGTATGCTAACAGAGAGTAACAGAAAGAAGACAAGGCAGAGTGTTAGAAAGCTGGTGCTGTCACAGTTAAGGATCCGTGCAGTATGATTGCGGAAAGGGAAAGTCTATAAAAACAGTACGAAATCCAGTGAAGAACAAAGTACTAGCTAGAAAAAATGTGTTTGTGCATGTGTTCGTAGAGAAGAAAGTTATCCAGTGTAGCTACAAATACAGTGCCAAAGGTTGAGCAGTGCGCATGTGTCAGATCCTTCAGCATTAGATGACGTTCCCTGACCTTTGTGCCTTGATATGTGGCACTACATGCAGAGAGCGAGAAGAAATGTGTATGTGTGTGTGTGTATGATTCTGCATGTGCGTGTGTTCACAGACAACGAAGCCTTAGTGCAAGGGATCCCTCCAGGTTGATGTATTGCGATAGTTTTGCAGGTTTCCATTGGTATTTAAACATTTGTAAATCCCAGAGATTAAAATTCTGTGAATGTACTTCCAGTGAAGCAGCCGGGTGTGAGTGAGATCCAAGTACAAAGGCTGAAGCCAAAGTTAGTCCAAATAGATTTTAAAAAAAGAAATCCGCTAATCGATCTTAAAAAGTATGAGATGCAGTGTGACCTTCTGCAGGATAGCTTTGTAGCTGCAAAGTAGATAATAAAAGCAGTTCAGAGTTCATGTATAGTTTTAAAACCAGTGTGCGATCAGCAAAAGACCATGTTAAAAAAAACATTTACAGCAACCAAAGGAAAAATGGAGGAAAACTGTTGGGACTTTTCCAAACTATGACAAAATCAAAAAACTTTGGCTCTAAAATCAGAGAATTAGGAGGTACGTATTACAGATTAGATAATAATAATAATAATAATAATAATAACAATAATAATAATAATAATAATAATGTTGATTAGATTAGGTCCTTACTATCAGATTGAGTTAAACAAATTGTGGAAATCTAAAAGAAAAACATAAAAGAAAAAAAGGTGCTCTGCTTTTGTTTTCTGTCAAAGTGGTGGTCGTATAGTTAACAGATTGTCAACAGTCAACCCCCAAAGGTTTAAGGAGGGTTGCAAAATGTTAACCTAGCTTTTTCAAGTTTCCTAGTGACTTTCTCAGGTGAACAAAGCACTTACTCTAATGTAGCTGTTCGTGAGCCAACACGCCTAAGGAATGAGAGATTTAAAGATTTGAGAGGAATTCCTAGGCCATTGACTGTACAGCTCAACATTTTTCTTTGTCTGGGGAAACATTTGGCTCTACGTAAGCTGCAGTGTAGCAATGTGCACTCCAGTCCAGCGGAAAATCACCCATGTGACAGAAGCTATTTCTTGTGGGCAGTCCCTCTGGCTGTGCCGCCAGATTTGTTTCCAGAACGACGAACTGGCACCTTGGATACTGGGATTCTGGTGCGAGCCGGAGGAGGCGGTTGCGTCTTTGGTGGAGTTGATTCAGCCTCTAGGACGGACGACAGGGCTGACTGGCTTGCAGAGTGAGGGGGTGTGGTTGGTTTGGTGCTTACCGGGATCTTGGATTCTCGAGGAAGGCTGGCGCTGCCTTTCATTGATCGGAAGGAGCAAGAGGAGGAGGAGGAAGGCAGAGTTGCTTGGGAGATGGGGCTGGTTTTGTGTTCAGTGGACGGAGAGGGCGAGCTGTTTGGATCTTCATCTCCCTCCTGATCCTCTGCTTCTTCTTCAGGATCATTGTAGAGGTCATACAGGTGGTCTCCAGAGCAACTGTCACGTGATAGGGCCATATTCTGGTTATGCTGCAGCCCACTTTCGTCAGGTGTTGCTGTAGGTGTTGCTGACGGTGTGTCCCAGTAGCCCTCGTCACTAAGCGGCTCTTTTTCACCTGGCGATGTAGGGTGACGACCATGTGCGTGAGGGAGAGGGGGTTTAGCTGCCCGGCTTCCCGCTCCACCAACTACTGGAATCTTACTGAGTCCCAGCGCCTTCACCTGTGGTACCTTTCTATCTGAACTCCTGGAAGCTGAGGGAAGGTAGCTGCTAGCAGGGTTGGTGCGAGGGGGATAAGTAGAAGTAGGGGTAGAGGAGGAAGGTTGATGCGATCGGGGCAATGCAGGGGAGTTGTCTCCTGTGGAAGGCAACATGTGCCAGAGTCCCTGCATGTCTGCATCGTCCACTCCTTCTGGACTTGCCATTTCTTCCCCTCCACCCATGTAGGCCACCACACCACTCCCGGGTGGGTGCTGTTGTGGTTGAGGTCGTGCCCTGGTCCGGGCAGGGAGGGAGGCAGGTGCAGAGTTTGGGGAGACAGAGAACATGGGCTGGGACATCTGAGAAGATAAAGGGGGTTTAGATGGGGAGATGCTACTGGTGATACCAACAACTCTCCCAATACCCACTCCCACGCTACCTCCTCCTCCCCCACTGCTACTGCTGCTGGTACCACTGCCCCCATTACCCACTGGGCCCTCTTCATCGGCATCAGCAATAATGTCACCACAGCCTGTGAGAGAATCAAAGCTCTTGAGGGACGTGACGTCAGTGAAGAGGAGGGAGCAGAGTCGGTCCACAGAGGGCTCTGATGGTGGGTCACCAGTGCTGCAGCGATCCAAAGGGGGTGTAGCAAGGGAGGGGGTGAGACTGGAAATTGAGGCTTTGGCTTTTTGGATGGGTGGTCGCAGTGGTGAGTCAGTGGGCGTGTAGGGAAAGGGAGAGTCTGGCTCACCAGATGGCCCTGGCATGGCAACACAGTGTGGAGGTGTCATGGTAACACTCGTGGTGGGAGTCTCTAGTGCTTGGAGGTTAGGTCCTGCTTCTGCATCCTCACAGTCTGCTTGGTGGTTATGGGGAGGTGGTTCAAGGGTTAGAGTAATGTCCTTTACCTTTTCAGCATCAGCAGCGTCTCCATCCTTGTCCTTCTTTGCTTCCGCCTCTTCTCCATCGCCCTCATTTGTTTTGTCTTTACGTCTCCATCGCATGCTGCTGAAAAACCCTTTCAGGCCCCTTCCTCTTCTGACAAGTCCTGCTCCTCCGTTTTCACTCGACCTAAAACTCCCGCGTCGGAGAAGAGAGAAGAAACTTAGCGATTTGCTCAGAGACCTCACCGGCCCCACCTCCAGGCCTGCAAGTCCCTCCCCTCTCTGTCCATCAGTGTCGTTATTAGAGCTTGTTAGTCCATCGTGGGTTTTGCTCCTCACAAGTTCCGCCGATGCCCCTGAGCTGTTTCCATTCAAAGAATTTCCATTGTCAGAATTCCCGTTGTTTCCGCTGTTTGTAGCCCCTTTGTTCCTGAAGGAAAAGAAGCTGGCCATTCCAGATCCAGTGCGCCGCTTCCCAAAGAGTTTGAAGGCAGCTTTGTTGATCTTCCCTGTAGGCTGAGGGTCACACTGAGGGGCCACAGGAGGCTCCACACACTCTGAGTGCACCTCCATTATCTAGTACTCTATTGCTCCCACTCTATCGTCTCCCTCGAGCTCTTTAGCTACCTTTTTATCCTCTCTCTTTCTGGCGCACATACATTCACCCTCTCTCTCTCTCTCTCTCTCTCTCTCTCTCCCTCCACCCTGCTGTCTGGTGCTCTTTCACTCCCACTCTGACTTGCTTTAACGCCTGCCTGCTGGTTTTCTCTGTCTGCCTCCCTCCCTCCCTCTTTCTCTTTCTCTCTCTCTCTAGCTCTCTCTCACACAGCCGCACACACAAACACACATGCTGCTCCTCACTGTATCCATGGCAACTGGGTGGGCTAAGCAGCTTTCGTCAACGTTGGCGGGGCGCCAGCGTCTCTCCTCCACTCCCTCCCCCAACCCCCTTTCCTCTTCTCTGCTTCCACCTTGCCTGTCACCGATGCACTGGTTGGTCTTTCATTTTAACTATTGAGTATTTCCGAAGCCCAAAATTCACCGCATCCATCAGTGTGTGTGTGCACCGTGTGTGCGTGTGTCCACGTCTCTGTGTTTATACAAACCCATTCCAGGGTAGCAATGAAGCAATACGCACCCACTGATCTGCTGATGCATTATAAAGGATTAGACATGAGTTCAATATGTTTATGAGGGCTTCCTTAATGGCAGCTCGGTTGAATAGCCAATTATTAGGACAGATCACAGGCTAATCTTTATACAGACTGTTTGTAGGACATGGACCACAGATGTGGGAAAACTGACAATGATGCTGCCCACTAAAAACAGAACTTTTGCATGTGTGGACATTAATTTCTGTGTATATCTTTCCTGTTAGGTAAGTCAGAGCTTTGGGTAAACAGTAGCTTTACATTGTAAATTGATCAGAATTAGCCTTCTCCCTTCACCCAGGCTTATTAGACTGGCTAAATTGGAGTGTGAGGGTGAAAAAGTTCAAAGTAAACGAAACTAAGCATATCACAAGTGCGATTTAGTGGACTCAAAAACAAGACCTGCTGATCAACAGTATGAGCGGGCTTAGACCAGGATATGGATTTAGAAATGTCAATGCAGTCATGCTTTTGTTATTTCAAGGGACAAGGAGGTCTTAACCTCCCAGTCACAACCAATTTCTCATCCACAACTTAAATGACTTACAAGTGACTCTGCAAAAAGATTTAGGCCCCTCACAACTTACAAGTAGACAAACATACAAACACAAATAGCACAGCCTTCAATAGAGTTTGAGACACACACATATAAGCCATATGGCCTTGAGGCCTCTTCCATATGGACACACAGGGCCAGGTGTCTGAGCCCTGTGATGCCACATATAACTGTCATCACGTCATCCTCAGTTTCCTTGTGTTTGTGGTTTTGTGTCACCAATTATGCAGCCCACAGTACACTCTTTCTTTTCACATTAGTTATAGTTTTAGAGCATACCTTGGCAACCAGCAGAGTTTCTGCAGGCATGTAGAACAATTAACTGTTCACCAACTAGAAGGAAACCTTGTGGCAGCGGATCAACTTGCTGACTTTTGTTCATTGTTGTCGTGTCTTTACAAAGTGCACAAGTGTTCCAGTTTTATTATCAAATTGCATTTGTGCTAATAAGTAAAATTGTGAATGAATTAGGGTATTATACATTAAAATAAAATAAAAAATATAATAATAAAGAGTGAAATCATTTTTATTCCACATCTCAGTTTGTTTGTTTGATTTTGGAGAATGGCAACCAGTTTGTATATCTGAACAAATTACATAATCACCATTTACCGTAGATCCACCCAGTTCTCCTTTTTTCTGAGTGCAATCCACTGGGGGTGCTCCCAACCCCCCATGAATCTCCCTGTTATCCCGACCCACTTACAAACCTTCCTTCCCTTCCCTCCCCTTCTCCTTTTCTCTCCTCCTCCTCCACAGTGACTGTGAGCACAGGCTCTCCTCTTCCATCCCACTGCTATCAAACAATGTCTGCATTCATGAGCCCAATACACACAACCACAAATCTAGAGACATGCTCCCACCCACACAAACACTTTTTGAGGGCTTCCCCAGAGTGAAGCGTCGAAGCATATCATCCCTATGCTCCCCCCCCCCCACCAATAAGAAAGATAATATGTCCCCAAGAGTCAGTCAGCCAGCCTGTCTGCTTTCAGGTACATCAGATGTTCAAGCAGAATGCCCTACAGCAGTGCTAGCAGGTCAGCTGGCTGCTGCGTGGACTTGAAGCTGAGTCTAAGCAGCAGATGGCAGGTGGATTGATGAGTGGAGACTGATGAGGGAGCTCAGTTATCGCATGATGAGACAAAGGATTTTGCTTAGCTCTTAGAGTGGCAGTGTACATTATTACAGTGCTTTAAACATCAGTAAATTATTGAAGCAAATGCACACATTACGACAATGCTACTATATTCCACAATGGAGACCATTAGACCATATCGGGCTTATCGAGCAGTTTGTATAACTGCATTTAAATGGAGGACATAGGAAAGCAATACACACCCTCACACTCACATATATATATATATATATAGATATGAGGCCATTTGTAAAAGCATGGGGCTTGTATGTAAGTGTAAAAGAACTTTTGTCCAGAGGCTTTTGTGGATATTGAACTGGTTTGGTTAGTTTGGTGCTTGGATAATGCAACATGTGCTCTCCTTGCAACCTAATTATTCTTTTCAGTCTACTTGTACTGGCTAAGGCAGATTCACACATGCAATACAAGAAGCCCACACCCTATTATCCCTCCTACTCCGTGCCCCCACCCTCTCTAAAAAGGGTTCCCATTTCAGCCCCCTGAGCGAAGCTCAGCATTAAGTGGGACAGTTGGAGGACATTTTCTCTCTCTCATGTCTCTCACTGTTTTGTCTGTTAATATGGTTCCTCTTTTACGTCAGTGTGCTTCCACTGCACAGTGCCCACAAGTAGCAGCTGAATGTCTTTTTTTTCATTCCTCTGTGAGGAAAGAGCCTCAGGACTCAAATACTTTTTTTTTAAAAAGGCCTAATTTGTCTTGCTAAGAAAAGAAAAACAGACTGTGTGTTGTTATGTGAAACTTGCATTGTGTGTACACCCTTTACCAGGCAGAAGTTGTGAAAAAGATGTAAATCATTTCAAGGAAATGCATATCTGTCAACAAAGCTAAAGGGTGCTTTAAATTTTGTAAAGAGTTTCAGTGTCTTCACATCAGGGTGTAAATAACCTAATTAATTAGAGCGTGTATCCTTATTATCCATCTTGAACTGTCTGATAGTGTCACAGTCATGACATCATCTTCGTTCAGTCCACGTCAATCTTTTTAAATCGGTCACATATTAAGACTTTTAATCTTGGTATGTGACCAATATAAAAAGAATGCAAAAGGTCATTACATTAAAACACATTATGCTATTTTAGGCTCCTGCTTTAACACCTTTATTATTTTAGAAAGTCATCTATGGGATTCCTGCTTCAGTTTCACATATAGGAGAAAAAGAGACCAGAATATCCCCACAGAGTGTCTGAACTTTGCCTCACTTGAATAATAATAAGTCACGTATCTTATCAGTAATCTCACAAGAGTTTTATTATCTGCGGATCATAGAGGACACCAACAAAGAAGTAGCTCTGATGTGGTCATGACTGTAGGTTCACATAACAAACCACAATAGTTTTAGCTGTCAGTCAGACGTAGTACATATCAGGAACTACGGGAATCTTTTCAAATGTGAGAACAATACAATCAGCAATCTACCCATTTTCCTTTCAAGTACCACATCTGTGAAAACAGCACAACAGGATCCAAGCAAGAGGTTTAACAAAGACTAGTAACACACACAAGACACAGGTGTGGCTGATCATACATCAGTGGTTAGCTGCCTGGCACAGGCACACATACACACCACATAGTCTTTATCATCATTATTAGGGGTTCTATCGGTTAGATTGTGTCAGCACAGGGGGTCTTCCAGCTCTGGATTAAACTAAGCTGTGTGTCTGTGTGTGTGCATACACACATGTTCCTGTTTATGTGTTAATGAAAATTAAACCCCCAAGGATTACTGCTTGTGCTCTTTTGTTACTTTGGTAATCAACAGGGAGCAGTACTAAATGTTATTAAGCTGCCTAAACCCAGAGTGCTCAGACACTTTTACACTCAAAACACTGCAAAACCAAAGTGTTTCTGAAAACTTGTCTTTATCCCACAGAAAAAGCAACCCAAAGTATATAAAAGTTATACATGTTCCCTGCAATGCAGTAATTATCAATTTTTCTGAATATGTCAGGGTCAAAATGTTTGTACATGAATTACTTTTTTGAGGCAGGTTATTCGACTGTTTGGAGTAAAAATGTTCCTTTTTTCATTTAGACTCATTTATTCTGGACTTCTAGTTGCCGTGGCTTGCTGAGATGACAGATCTGGAGGGGATTTTCATTACCGTTATAATTTATGCTCCTACTTTCAGAGGCTGAGGCTAAAGCCTGGTTATACCTCTGGCCACAACCAGTAGCAACTTTGCACAAACTCATAGAAATGGAGTTGCATCATATAAATTCTAAATGAATTGATTCTTATGCTCCTAGGACCTGGTGTCCACATCACATTTTGGGTTGTCTGGACCAAAATACTAATTTTTGCTCTACAAGGGCCTGATTACCACTTATGAGGACATTATACTGCCTGTTCTATCGAAATTTAAAATGAATGCCCTCTTATGAGGACCTCATTTTTCTCATAAACAAAAATCAGATAAAAGAAAAAAATCTGTTAATTCTTTGTTTTTACATTCATCAGGTCCCAATCAGCCCAATTAGCAAAGAGAAATTAAAAATGCATGCCATGAAGGAGTTTGGGTCTTAGGAGGTTAAATACTACATACCACTATCCAACTTTATCTTAACACTCAAATACCACATTCCCTTATTTCATTGAGTTTGACCCGAAATAAAACTTACCAGAAACGACTGTCTAGAGCAGGGATGTCAAACTCTTTTTACATCGCAGGCTACATACAGCTTATTTTGATCTTTTGTTGGCTGCACCAGTGAAACTGCCCTTCCTGCCAGTGTGCAAATGTAATCCCAGAGATATCTTACGTATAAAAAAATAACCTCTATTTCACCAGAAAGCAATCTATCAGTGCAAAAGAAAACT